TGCAATTATTTCATCATTAATTGAGTTTCAATTATTTTTGTGATAATTTAATTGCAATTAATTTTTCGGTAGGCCTGCTATAAACTGATTGTTTGTGAAATAAAGTGTCTATGAAATAAACTTCTACGAAGTAATGCAGACCCAAATTTTACTGACGCTATTTCGTTGACGATCTACTCTAGTATATCAAGGGGAAATTACAAAATAAATCTTGCCGAGCAAATTGACCTTTACACAGCCGACAACAGAATTAATAAAGTAGCCAAAGCGATTAACGCTGATATAGAGCAATTATTAAAGGATGAAGCCGAAAGCCTAGCCCTAAATCAGATCAAATTTGTCTAGAAATAGCTGTCGGCGAAGGGTCGTATCACTTTGTAGAAGTTTATTTCACAGGCACTTTATTTCACAGACAATCAGTTCATAGACAAGTTTATTTCAAAGATAATCATTTTATTTACAGTTAATTTTAAAGACAGTTTATTTCGTAGACAAATTTATTTTATAGACAATTAAGTACTACTTAATTGTCTATAAAATATATTTGTCTACGAAATAAACTGTCTTTAAAATTAACTATCTATAAAAAGATTATCTTTGAAATAAACTTGTCTATGAACTGATTGTCTGTGAAATAAAGTGCCTGTGAAATAAACTTCTACGAAGTGATACAGACCTGTGAGATTTGGATATGAACAAACCAAACTATAATAGTTTGGGAATGTACACAGAGTAAAAATAGATTTATTTAGCTCATTATTAATTTAAATCAATTTATTTTATGTAGGATCGTGCACGTATTACGGTTATGCTGACGACCAATGCGATCAGAACTGAAAAGTTAAAACCATTAGTAATTGGATCATCTATTGAACCTAAAGCTTTAGTCTGATTAAACTATGATGCCTTGCCTGTAACATATTGTGCAAATTTAAAGGCTTGGATGCGAACCGATATTTGTGAATGGCTTTTAAAACTTGATGAAAAGTTTCGTTTAGCAAACCGGCAAATTTTGTTGCTAATTGATGGTGCATCGAGTCATTATAATCCTAATAAAGGTCAAGAACTAGATAAAGAATTGAGTGCTGAAGAAGAATCAAATAATAAAGAGTCAGAAGACGAAGAAGACAAAGAAAGTGAAGAGTCAGAAGACGAAGAATCAGAAAATGAAGAAGAAATCCATGCAAGCTCATCTAAAACTCCACATACTCGACGTGGCTGTCCAAGGTTAAGTGCCAGTAGTATTAATAAGCAAAAAGGGCGAGACTCTCTTCGTAGTCGTGGGCGTGGTCATGGGCGTGGAAGTGGTCGTGAACGTGGAAGTGGTCGCGGGTGTGGGCGCGGGCGTGGTCGCAGGCGTGGGCAGAACAGCAAAGGCCGTCACAGTACTGGTCGTCCTTATACAATTCCAGATCTTTCTGACATTCGCTTAACAAATATCCACATTGAAATTTTACCACCCAAAACTACTGCGCACCTCCAACCACTGGACGCTGGAATTATCAACAGCTTTAAAGCGAAATATAAAAAAAATATTTACAGCACGTAATAAATCAGTTTGAAAGAGGCGAAGATTTAAAAATGTAAGAATATACCTGTTTGCTAACCAAAATGAAAATCATGTGCATTACGTATCTGCATTATTTGTCATACTGGACTGTTAACTGTATATGGTAACAAACGGGTAATAAACCAAAATATTACTTTACACTTGCCTTATGAAATTATATAATCCTAGAATATATAAATATTCAGCATAATTGGGGTGCTAGAGTGTCCAGGTATTTGATTTTAGGATTTTTTATTGAACAATGAAAAATTCCAGAAATTGTATAAGTCTGTACGCTTATGGGCAGACTTTTGTATGATTGGCAGTTTAAATCAAATTAATTTTACAATATTTATACAGTTTAAAGTACTTTTTAAAAAAAAGAAAATCACAAAGAATAAACAAAAAGAAGTATATAGAAAGTTTTAACACTATTAAAATAATCAAAATTCTTTTTTGTTTTAGAGAAGTTAGCATAATAGTGACTTCTTAACGATAGATAGAATTAGGTTAATACCATGCTAACTTCTCTAAAACAAAAAAGAATTTTGATTATTTTTAATAGTAGAGTCCTACAACCTTAATAAAACTTCTATATACTTCTTTTTTGTTTATTCTTCGTAGTGTTCTTTTTTTAAAAAGTACTTTAAAATGTATAAATAATATAAAATTAATTTGATTTAAACTGCTGATCATACGAAAGTCAGCCTATGGTCTGTACGCTTTAACAGAAGCCAGGTCTGTTACATAGTGTGAAAAGAAAATTTTAAACCGCACTTTTTTACACCCTTTATGTTAGTTGTGAATTAAGTTGTTTCTAGTTAGTTTAGCTCACGATGCTGATTTCTAATTTTCAATCCAATTCGTTTTTTTTAGAATTAAAATTTTACTGATTCTTTTTTTTATTTGTGTAGAAATAAATTAAATATTAGGGATGCAATATATTATGTTGCAGAATCATGGGATGAAGTTGAAGAATCGACCATCGTGAATTGTTGAAGAAAAACAGGAATTCTTCCCGTGTTATCAGATACTGAAATTGACGATTCTACTTTTGCTATTCAAAACTTAACAGATTTAGAAAATGATGTTGATGATTTAATCGTAGACTTAATGACGAATTCACAGGATCCGACAATCGAACGCCAGGTAAATGAATTCAACTGCATGAATCATTCTCAAATACTTACTGAAGATATGCTTGACGAAGAAGAAATCGTTAACATTGTGTTGGAAGAACAACTAGAACTTGAATAAGGTGACGCAAGTGATACTGACGAGGAACCGCCTGAAATTCCTATTATGGAAGGCTTAAACGGATTAACAAAATTCATTAGCTTTGTTGAGCAACAAGAAGATTGCGATTTTAATATGGAGGATCTTAAAATTTTTAAAAAATACTTACCACTGATCAAAAGAAAATATGTTGAATCGCTAAAGCAAAAATCTATCACTGATTTTTTTTTACCCGAGTATGATCAATAACAGGGTTACTGGATTTTTTTTTTTTTTTGCCCGTTGATAATTAATAACAGTTTTTTTTTTCTTTTTTTATAAATGATTTCTAGCGTAGAATTATTGTACCAAATTATGAAACGAATTAGTATTCTAAGGTTTTTTATATTATATAGTAGATTTATTTGATATCAGTTAAATCAATTTTTAATTTTTAACGAAGATTTCAGTCTATAAAAATTTAAATATAGGGGTTATTTAGTAAAATAAATATAAGGGCAAATATTATCTTTAAGTGTTGATTGGCAATTCGCAAGATTATTTGTCCAGGTTTTACTATATGTTTTTAACTTGTATTTTAACGATTAATTTTTCCTGTGTCTCCTCATTTCTGTATTAGTCTAATTCTTTAAGTTGTTACTTACTCCATAATTGTACTATCATAGTAATATAAATCTTATCTTAGTAGTATTAGGCATTATAATGTATTGTTAGAGGTGAACTCATGCAACCGCGAATATGCTGTGGTTATAGCGAATATGCTTTAGTTACAGTAAATACGCTGAAGCTACTACGAGTACGCTGTGATCATTATGATCACGCTCTAAAAATTTATCATGTATATAAGTGCTCGCTCTCACTCTTGATTGAGGAAGACATGCTCTCTGAATTCCTCTCTAAAATAAAGATAACATATGTTTACATTCTTTTTTATAATAAATGCCTAATTAATCATGAATATCCGAATACCATAATTTATTGCTCAATTCATGTGATCCTTCTAATGTCAACTATCAGAGGTAACAAAACAAAGCTCTCCCTTATGATGGTTACAGTATAGATAACTTGCGGGTGTTTTTGACAAATGGGTTGTGCGGAATTAAACTGACTACAGCTTAATAGGTTTTCAGTTAAATTCTCAATTTTTTCATTTAATATATTTACTTGGTAAGTGTATAGGTAGATTAGATTACCTTATGGTGGACTCCCGAAGTTCGGGATACCACTGCGGTTTGCAAAATAATGTATCTTTGATCAAGATCACTGATTGCGCGATTGCACAAAAATGGTATTGAAAATACAAGTATTATTTTAAGGATATGAATATAAGAAAGCCAACTTATGATAAAATGACTTATTGGGTATTAGGGACACGGAGTTTATGTAATAATAATTTGAAATTATGCGTATAGTACATATAAAATATTCGATTTACTGATGGTTAAGGTGCGATTTAATGATATTTAATTATAAGATATTGGATCATGCGATGATAAATATTATGAAATTTGTTCTGGTAGAACAAATTTTATGATATTTATCATCGCATAATCCAATATCGATGTTATTGTGCAATTATGATCATGATTTTCAAGTCATCATTGACTAACTGAGTTTTAATTCGAGAATGTCGTGCTTATGTAATAATGTACGTACAAAAAACAACAAGAAAAAAATCTATGATCATAAGAGTTTGCACGATAACTTATAATTAATTGGTTTTTATAATATATAGTTAAATACAGTATATAGGCGAATCAATACTACAATAAATATAAAACTTTATTTACCTTTTTAAAATCACATTATATATATTATTTTATATAATGTGATTATATAGAGGGAACTCTACTTAATCACCCCTTTATATAATCACCAAAAAGTGTTAGCCAAATAGGGTGATTATATAGGTGAACGACTGTATATCATTCTGTTTCTTTAACTACTTGTAGCTAATAAAAAGTTATTAAAAATTGATAAAAATCAATTTTATCTAAAAATAAGCTACTTTTATAATTTTGTATAACTTAATAGCCAAAAAAGGGTAGCCTATTTTGAAAATATATGATAATAATACTACTACTTGTGCTAATATTTGTATCTTAGTTTATTTGTTTTGTAATTAAGTTATAAAGATTAGTAAAATTATTTAAAGTAGAGTATAGTAATATAGTATAGTAGTTAAGTTGTCACACCCCAAGCTAGCTTGTAACTAAAGTACAAAGTTTGAATCCTACTGGTGATGATTTGAATAAAATATCTGTATTGTGGTAATAGATCTTTATTTTACAACTAGTTGGATAGTATAGTTAGTAGAGATGTTATTGGCTTTATATAAAGCTAGTTTTAGCTACAATTTGAAGCTAAGTAAAATCATACCAGACCAATAACCTAAAGCTATAGCTTAAACCAAATTTAAAAATTACTTAAAGTTATAAAAATTAATTATTAATTTTAGTTTTAATTGTAACTAATAGCTTAAACCATGGCTTAGTTATAATTTGGCTATAACTTTATTAAGCTAAGCTAAGCTATTCAAGCCAATAATAATAATAGTTAGAGATTATATTAAAGAAGTTTAATATGCTTCGCACCCCTGCGCTAAGGTTATATATTGCACCTTAATATGATTGGCTAATTTTGCAGATCATTATTTATAAAAAAATAAACAAACTTTGATTAATTTTCTTTAGATTAAAACTAACTTATAAAAAATAAAGAATATAGTTAAAGTTTTTTTGCAATTATATACAAAATTTGATGCTAAACAAGTTTAATTAGAAACAAAAAAGACATTGCTATAATAAAATCTAGAGAAAATGTAAAAAATATGCAAAAAATGTGAAAAAATGCAAATATCTTTAAATTTTATTATGCTAACCTTTTTAAAGTTTCTAAGTAAACTTGTTCA